TTTTTCTCCGTGGGGGGGGGCGGGGTACTTGAAATTTCCGGGGGGGGGGGGTGCGGACACTGTTAAAAGTATATATCTTCTATATAAATTATATAAATTTCATTTCGTTCGGGGGGGGAGGGGGGGATGGGTAAAAAAATTTCGGGGGAGCCCCCACCCGAAGAGATGCCTGGAAGAAACTCTGCGTGTCTAACGTAGGCTTACCAAAGTCAACCAAGAGTTCGTCGCCAGCTTAACTTGATAATTATTAAAATCATAAAGCAAATGTTGTGCCACAATTGTTAGTCTCTTCAGCTGCCCTGCGTGTGATCTAGACAGAGCCGTCAAAAAACCATCAGTCAGATGTAGATAGTCGATCCCTAGTTTTGTCAAGCGAGTAAGAGAAAGGATGCCATTGGTCAGTTTGTCTTGTTCTTTCGAAAGGTAGCCATCCAAGGGCTCTCGAAAAATCCTGTCGATGTAGAGAGTCTCTACATTTCCCCTGGACACAGAAAATACAGTGTCTAGAACCTTGATGCCTTCTTCAAATGTAAACTGCGCGGACGACATTTTAAAGCACTGTAGCCTGTCAGACCTGGATAAAATACGAGTTAGAATCTCTGTAATACTTTTTACAGTACTCAGCAAAGCGCCTTGAAGCTGCAGGTCAGTTATTTTTATCGACGTTAGACTCATTTGATGCAGACTGAGTAAAAGTTTCCGGAAGTCGATAGCCATGAATTTGCAAATGGCAGTTTGATGATCGTGAGAGCACGAGACAGATAATTTCCGGAAGTGAATTCCGAATTGTTGCGCGCACAAAAAAGTTCTTTTGTTTTTCTGTGATTTCCAATTACAGGATAACTCCAGGTGAATGTTTCGCCATAAACTGGGCGTAGTGTGGATCAAATCCCTCCAAGACGTGCACACAGTCGCCATCCTTAACAATTCGATTGTGTCTAGGTAAGAGAATACTTTTAGTGTAATCTCATTTGGTAACTGAACCCATTGATACGTGTCTTCTGATTTGTTATCAGCATTATATTTTAAGAAGTCTATGTTACATGCCTGTCTTGCTTCTACCTCACTCACAGTGGTCATGTTTGTAATCGTTGTCCTTTTTAACTTTGCCATCTTAAAAAGTTAAAATGTTTTTGCACTTAATGAATTATGAATCTTGATCTCGATCTCGATCTAGATCTAGATGTAGATTCTAGATCTAGTTGGCAAAGAAAGGCCTAATAAAGACAGCGAAGAAATCAATGCGTTAGGGAAACAGCTTCCTTTTGTTGATATTTACGCTGTGGTGCTGAACGGTGCGCTCTAATTTGTATCAACAAATAAAATACCAATGTGCATGGTTGTAAAAAGTCAATTGATTTTCTATAACTTTAATACAATTACTAGGCGGCCCGGCGAGGCCCTGCACTGGCCTCTAAGAAAAACCTATCTGTAAAGGACCATGATTTGTTTGTTTACTTGGGTGGTTACCTGGGTAGGTTACCTGGGTAAGTTGTGTTATGGGTTTATGTACAACAAAGGTCTTGAAGGAATGTTACCTGGATAAGTTGTTTTATGGGTTCATGTACAACAACGTCTTGAAGGAATGTTACCTGGGTAGGTTACCTGGGTGTGTTGTGTTATGGGTTCATGTACAACAAGGTCTTGAAGGAATGTTACCTAGGTAAGTTAAGTGGGTAGGTTGCGATTTTTTGACTTGGGTGTCAGTTAAAGTGTCCATAACAAGTTTTCTTTTCCTCTTCCTTCGCTTGCAACATTAGGATGTATAATATGCATTTACAACACTCTTTTAATGCTTAGAATAAAATATTACATTTTATATCCAGTGTTTGGGATGTGTATTTTTGCGACATAACTGAACACATAATGCATAATTATCAACAACGTACATTACAATTTCATATATTTTCTAATGATTTATTATACTTATTAAAACGAAAAAACGCAAAGAAATCACAGCATTATTGCTTGGCATGCCATTTTGACACAACACTCCCACACTATTTTATCGGTTAAAAAAATAAGTTACCAGGAACTTAACTGTACAATTATGTCCATCCTTAAAGTCCCAAAACCCAAACACAAAAAAAAGTATTTTTTGTTTTCAAAAATATTTATTTTACTGAACTTGATATTCGTTTAAAAAAAATCAAGTCATGATTCAACAAAAAGAAACAGAAGTCATAAACGGTAGCGTGAAATATAAGCAGACGGTCAAATCAGTGGCGTAGCGAGGTCGGGTGTCACCCGGTACGGCACTTAATGGTGTCACCCCCCCCCCCCCCCCGCAGAGGCGTAGCGACTCTTCCCGGGGAAAAACTTTCAATTTTTGATTTGCACCCCACCCCCCTCAAACTTTCGATTTGCACCCCCTCAAACTTTCGATTTGCACACCCCCCCCCCCCCCTCAAATTTTTCTCTATATATTTTACTATTTTTTACCTTGGTGTCACCCCAATTAAATGGTGTCACCCGGTGCGGTTCGCACCCCACGACCCCCCCCCCCCTCGCTACGCCTCTGGGTCAAATTATTACATGTCTTATTGCTCTTCTTTAAAAAGACATGGGAGGGTGGGGTGGGGAAATTATATTCTTCTACTCTACCATTTAAAAAAAGAATGACTTTCTTAATAATTATTATTACAAGACCTACTAAAAATATCAATTATATTCTGAATCATTATTATAAATATAAAAAGCCACTGTGCTAAAACGAACATCTATCACGATCCACTAATTATGGCATTGTTTTGAGAGGGAAGAATGTTTTATTATAAATGTGTCTTATTATTCTCAACAAATCATTTCAGCTGCCTGCTTATAATGTTTATTATATTATTTTTCTTAAATCCCAAATTTATTTCAGCTCTAAGTATAATCCCAAACCCCCTCAACCAAAAAAAAACTTAAATCACCATTTAATTACACATTTAGATTTTTGGGTTTATAAATAAAATTGTAATTGTAGTAAGACGATTTTTGTTAGATCTATAGATAAGTAAGCAACCTTAAATAGATGTAAAAACCAATGATGAAAACGATACTACTAAAGCGAACATGGCAAGGCAAACTGACACTGTAAGTCAAATGTCTAAGAAAACAAGTAATTAAAAAAAGTCTAGTGACAATTTTAGCGCAATTTCCTTATGTTATCTAAAATCATTGGTTAGTTATTAAAACGTTTTTTTATTTTAAAAAAATTCAGTATTTTACATGTTTATTTACAATAGAGTAACATGACTAAAAACCATTGCGCGTCCAGCTACCGAACGTGATGTCGCAGCCATTGAACGTGATGGAGCAGCTATTGAACGTGATGACGTCGTGTGGTGTGGTTGCATAAAATGCCTACTAATTCGGTCCAAATTTTAATTAATTCAAAAAATTTGTTGTGACCGAACGAAAGGATATTTTGAAAACTTTCTTCGGCAATATTGTTCTAAATTACGGCAGGAATCGATTGGTACATGTTTCAAGTCGCTAAGTGCTCTGGTTGCCGAGATATGGGCCAAAAACTGCATTTTTTCGAGTTTTTTTGGCTTTTCCGGGAAATCCATGAAAGAAACCCGGAATTTTTATGGCCTATGTTCATCCTCGTAACTTGCGTAACATAATTGCTTTCGGAACTAGTCATCGATATTACTTCGTTGAGGAGGAGATACGACTTAAAGCTGCGGACACACATTCATCCATCCATTCATCCATCCATTCAGAAATGACGGGTTAATAAACGCAATTCTCCAGAATGGAAATTCCGCTAAAAATCATTAAAGCCCTACATATGTTTGATTGTTATTTTCGTCGGGCTAATCTTTATGTGTATGTATTTGAATGTGTACGTGTAAGTGTACGTGTACGTGTACGTGTACGTGTCCGTGTCCGTGTACGTGTACGTGTACGTGTACGTGTACGTGTACGTGTACGTGTACGTGTGCGTGTACGTGTACGTGTACGTGTACGTGTACGTGTACGTGTACGTGTACGTGTACGTGTACGTGTACGTGTACGTGTACGTGTACGTGTACGTGTACGTGTACGTGTACGTGTACGTGTACGTGTACGTGTACGTGTACGTGTACGTGTACGTGTACGTGTACGTGTACGTGTTCGTGTACGTGTAGGTGTACGTGTTCGTGTTCGTGTACGTGTACGTGTACGTGTACGTGTACGTGTACGTGTACGTGTACGTGTACGTGTACGTGTACGTGTACGTGTACGTGTACGTATACGTGTACGTGTACGTGTACGTGTACGTGTACGTGTATATGCGTGTGCGTATGCGTATGTGTATGCTTCTATGAGTCAAACACTAAAATGGTATTAGACATTTCTTTAAGCGACCAATGTTGTTATTTTTTTCTTGTTTATATTTATGTTTTTCAGTTTTTAGTATACATATATTTCTAATAATAAAAATACGTCGACTTTTTAAAAAGTAACCTTTTAAATTTTACTAAAATTTTAAGTGCATAGAATACACATTGATTTTTACCTCCGAAGAATGTAACACAAAGTCAAGTTATGCGAAATCAAAGCTAAACATGTTTATACTCAAATAAAATAGGCTGCATGTCTTTTTTTTTAAAATTGTTTTCAGTATTTGAAAACAAATAATTAACGACATTGTATACACAAATATACACAAAGGACAGTACATAAAATATTTATAAAAGTAAAAAAAAATAAAACTTGTTTATTTAGGTTATTAATAGGGTGTTGCAGTAATATTTTGCTATATAACATGCTATTTTTCAAAAAATTATATAAATTAATTGGCAAGCGCTAAAATTATGTTTTAGCTGTCAAAAATTAAAACAAAATATTAAGTATCGATTTTTACGTGTTTTGAATTTTTTAATTCAAGATAAACTATTGAAATTTTTTTTTGAAATAATTAATAATATTAATTCATTAATCCATTCCAAGTTTTGGAAAAACTTCCGCCAGGGAGAGATTAAATTTTCCAAACTAAATGAACTTTTGTGATCATGATTCCCATTGATAAAAAAAACATGGCGGCTGCTTGTTTCTTGACTTCGCTTCAACATTTTAAACTCATCATGAACTCCCAATATGCAACAAATATACACAATTTCAAGTCTATTGTGTACGTACGGTTGGGAAGTAATGTATTTGCATTCAATTCTGACAGAAAAGTTTTGTGGCGGTAAGTAAATTAATTATTTTTTAAAGTTAATGTAAGACCTAGCAAGCCTAGCCCCAGGGGACATTACTCCTACTGAACGATTTGGTAAACAGTAAACAGTAGTAAACACTTATCTAGACCGTCTAGTTCGATGACAGAATATTACCAAAAAAATAGATCTAAAATCTAAATCTACCTGATCCTTAATATATAATATCTGTAGGCCTATATCTACTTTATTACTTTATTAATTATACTGATTACTGATCCATCTAAATAAAAAGTGACAGTACACTTCAGTACAGTGATTAGATTTAGAATCTACTAGATCTAGATCTAGAATCTAACTACTATAACTAGTCTAGATCTAGATTGAATTCTAGTTCTAGATTTTAGATTCTAGTGTAAGTGTGTGTTTGTAGAGTAGAGAGCTAGTTGTAAGTTATCTAATCTATCTAGTTACTCTAGTCTAGTACTACCTATCTCAGTCTGTCTAGTCTAGTGGGGTCTAAGGCAAGGCCTAAAAGGTGTGTAGAGTTGTAAATGTAGACTGTAGAGTTCACTAGTGTAATAGAGAGTGACTGTAGCATTGCTAGTGTCAGTGTGAGTTGTAGTAACAATCTACACAGTAATTTAGAAATTTTGTCTAGGACTTAGTGTCAGTAAATATTGTAACATACACTTATTACTCTAGCCCACAATCTAGATCTAATATGGAATGTAGCAAAATGTATCTATATCCACTTATTTAGTAGGCCTTGTACCCTGATTATTAGATCTAGAGTTTAGATTTAGTAATAGAATCTAGGCTTAATGTTCAATATATATTGACCTAAAGTAGTTATAGATTTAATGGCTAGTTTTAGATTCAATTTTATTTAAAATTTTGATTATGTATAAAATGTAAACTATAATTATAAGAGAAAATTCTGAGTAGAAATATTGTGTGAACATCTATTTTTCAGATTACCTGAATTAAATCAGTGCATATAGACCTCTAGAAAGAAGCCTACACAAGTTCCAGGAAATACAAGATGAAGAGTATAAGTTGCCATTATAAAGGGATAATGTAGTCAGCACTATGCCCAGCCACTTTTTTTGCTTTCCCCAATGTCAAGTACCCATCAGAGCTGAGTGTTCTCAGGTACGTCCTACAGGGCACAGACACAAGTCCAAACCGAGATCAGAACTCTAGACTTTTGGGCTTGCAGCCAAACACTCTAATATTCAGCCACGCCATCCCATAAGTGTAAATACATTAATCATCCCTATTTCAAATGACATAACTAACTGGTCCTTTACAATAAATGACATAACATTTTCAATTTTCTAATTATTTATTTAAAATGTTTAACATATAAATGAAACTATTTCAATATCATATGGCTTAATTATTACATCATCATAAACAAATAATAAAATAATACATACATGTAACAATTTAAATTCTTGGGAAAATCAAGATTACTTTCTCAAAGTTGACTGTGATCATGTAAAATGAAAAAAGGTGATATTCAATTAGCTATTTATTCTTCAGTTTTGCTTTTTTCCACAATATTGACAGGATTGCATTGTTCTTATTATTGTGAAAAGCAAAAAGACTAATCTTAACAATATTATTATATATATCTAATATACATTGATTATTAATTTAATAAATGTGTACCTTGCACAACCTGATCACACATAAACCATACAATTTACATAGTGAAAAGATTTTATTTTTGTCATCCTTTGTTAAATGTACATGAAAGAATAGATCATTGTGTATTATATATACTTATAATACTTACATATTAAATTTAATAAGTATAATAGTTTGAAATATATAATTACAGACATGATGAACCATAAATATTTTATATTTTATTCCCAGGTAAATGGAACTTCATGAAAATTGAAGAAAAATTAATAACAAGTAAATGAACATGGTGTTATGGGTTGCTGCAATCACCACTTTAATAGAATTTTTCAAGGACAATTTAAATGTAGTAAAGAAATAGGGATGCCACTACAAATCTGGTGATGTCTTTTATATCTACACAAAGGAATCAGTTACTAGCTTGTGCAAGCATGAAAAAAAACATGTATAATGTAAATGTAACTGTAAGTATTCATATATATATATATATATATATATATATATATATATATATATATATATATATATATATAAATATCTTAAAATGTACAGTAAATTAAGTGAATAAATTATTACACTCCAAAATTGTAATTGAGTGTTTTTGGAATGTTTAATAGTTTTGTTTCTTTTCAGTTACATTTGAACAAAGCTATGAAAGTAACATTTCTTCATGTGAATGTCCCAGAGGAGCTAACAGGTGTTCACAGACTGCTGTACAGTTTTGCCTTGTTTATTCACCAAGAAACCCCATGTACAACTTATGAAAATGCTGTGTAGGATCTGCTTTTGGTTTCTCAACGCCAGAAAGACAAGATGAAGAGTATAAGTTGCCATTATTTTAAGATATTTTATTTTAGAATATACTGATTTTGAGATAATTTTGATTTTGATGAAATTGATTGTTTAAAAAAAATCAATGTTTAAAATAAAGTCCAAATAAATAAAATATATTAGATAACATTAGGCCAATGAAACAAAACCCTCATATTTGCCATAATTATTTATATCAAACAACATAATTAAAATACTAATGTATGTAAAATTAGTTAATTGCATACAATTTTCTTTACCACATTGACAATTTGTATTTATGATGAAATTATAAGCTCATAATTATATCAAAATAATAATAAAATCACAGTTCATAAGTATTACAGTAACTTTCATTGAGCAATAATATTTAACTTAGTGCATCTGTCATACATTAATCAACTGTTTTTTTTTAAATTAATATAATTTATTTCAGCAGATTCTTGTATATTATCAAAAATTATGAATACAAAAATATTCCCATATAAATAATTGTATGTAATGTTCAGATTAATACAATGCATTATATATGTAGTTCAAATGTACACCATGTATTCATGTATGTTTAATTATGCATTTGTTTAAATTGCCACCAGTGATACATACATGAAGCCTAATATATATATATATATATATATATATATATATATATATATATATATATATATATATATATATATATATATATATATATATATATATATGTGTGTGTGTGTGTGTGTGTGTGTGTGTTTGTACAAAGTTAAAACATTATTTTTGTATTAGAGGAGTTTGTAGATTAACAAGACAAGCAATTAATTGAAACACAATATCTATGTGTGTTCTCATCTCGTGGGGTATGCATGTTAATATTTTAAAAACTTTAATGCGCTGAATTGCACACTCTACATGTATCCTACATCTTGCAATACTTTTTGTACATTTTATCTCATTCTCTGTAAATTGGGGATTACTTAAAAAAGGAGGGATATTTACAGACACACCTGGGGGAAGTATATTTTGAATCAAAAATCCTTTATCGGCTAAAATTAAATCTCCTGGTTGAAAATACCTTATTACACCTGATTTGAGAAAAATTTGTTTATCTGATAATGATCCAAGAAACATATTTGAAACAAATGAGATGTAGCCATTAGGGCAGATGCCAATTAGCACCTTAAATGTGTTTTTAGATTTATAAGAGGAATATGTTGCTCTTTGCTTATCCATCTCTTTTGGGATTTCAATTTGTACTTCTGTGCAGTCAACTACCATTCTACAATTGGGATATTCTGAAAAGCTTGAAGGTGCAGCTTTTCTTATTTTATTCATACTAGGGTATGTTTTCATTAAAATATTTTTAAATAACAATTCATGCATTAAGTATGTAAATGTAAGAAAAATGTTACGTATAGTATTAATGCTGCAATCAAAAAGAGATGACAAATGAAGATATGTGTAGTCTTGTCTTAGTTTCATTAATGTGATAAAAATCTGATCCTCTAAGGATATGGTGTTAAAATTAACTTTCCAGCCACAGTAATAATGAATGTTATCTGTAAAACGGCGAACAAGGTTACACAAAACCATAAACATATCTTTTGAATAAATACCAGTTTCCATTTTAAGTATAGATTCTGTCACATTAAGCCAACTATAAATAGGTTTTTTCAATAATTCAGATTGGAGTACTTTAATTTCTACCTTAGCTGACTCTAAAGATTTTTGAAGCATTGCATTTTGAGCTAGAAGAGACCTTTGATCAAATGTCCATTCTACTTCTTTATTACTGAAGGTAGAATTTAAAGATGGCACTGGCAAAGTATGAATAGGTATATTTTCAGATATACATGAAGATGTGTCATTAAATGGAAAATTAACAATGCATTGATAATTATTTTCATTTTGACAATATGGTGGTAGGCTTACATTTTTTTTTAAATGAAGATGGATTTACAAAATAGGGCAAATTTTCAATTTCTTTTAACTTAGATGTTTTAATGCTTGCAACACATAAACTGGAGGGAGTATGAAGTGATGTTGAAGACATTGTGGATGTATTGGAAATACAATGTAAAATGTCAGTAGCAGATGCATTGAAAAGCGGTAATAAATTAGATTTTATAGAGCTAGAAGGTACATCTTCAGGTTGGAACATCAATAAGGAAACTGGACAATTCTTCTTCTCTCCATTCATAAAATGGCAGGAACACACTCTTGAAAATTTCGTAGGTTCTCTGTCAGGTCGACTAAATAAACATAATTTACATTCATTAACATTTGTTTAAAGCAAAGTCAATCTAATAATTTTATGAAAATTAGTAGAATATTGACATTTTACATAGAATCAACGAAGTTAATGGTTTTGACATTAGGGGTCATCCATTCATGTTGTCCACAATTTTTTTTGGATTTTGGACCCCGACCCCCCCTCCCCGTCCACAAAAATCCACTTATTTTCCTTATATAAGTCCATACGCGTCCGCAAAAGTCAATTTTTTTCTGACCCCCCCCCCCCCCCCCCGCGTGAGGACGTTATAAATTGATGACCCCTCAATGTAAATAAATTCAGATGAACATCCCATGATACTCATGAGATAGAAATGGAAAGCCAAGAGAACCTGATAACTGACATCCACTTGTTTCTTAAATCAGGATTTTTACTAGCAGAAGGAAAACGAAAAAAATGACAGCCGTTTTTGCGAGTTCTATGTTTGCATCCCTCAGCGAAACACAAAACCATATTTTATAATATCTATAGTAGAATATATATAGTAGAATATATATAGTAGAATCTAACAGTCTATATTTTTAAGTCTAATTACTAATTATTAGTAATTATTCGACTACTGTGTTAGAATCTAATTTTAAAATAATGGGTCTTTGTTAATTTCAATAGCTAGCTTTCTCAATTAATCAGCAGTAGACTTTAAAGTTAGAATTTGATTGCTTTATTCACTAGCTGCTTGAGTGTCTTCCTAACATTAATGTACAAAAATTTAAATCTAAACTTTGGTCTAGTTTAAAGAGAACTTAGATCTAGATCTATTTCGATATCTTAGATCTGCAAACAAACGGTTTGTTATTGTGTTCAAAGTTTAAAAAAAAAAGCGGAAGTAACTTTCTGGTTTTCTTGGCCAAAATAATAAAAATAATATTCAGATTTGGTTTAAAAAAACGCCAACCGGCAGGACTCCATTTGGACTCCACTGCAACACCCTATTCCGTTTAAAAAACTGAGGTAAAAAAGCAATTACTTCTCTTTATTATTATTATTTTATAAAGTATGTACTAAACAATGACATTGTATAAAAAGGAAATGTATTTAAAATTAATTATATAAATACAAAAAAAACATAAAAATAAACATGACACGAGACACCATTACCTATACTAAACTTTCATGGTTTATATTCTTTTGACCGACCACAGGTTAAGAGGTCTTATAGCAGGGATTACATAAAACTGATTTTAACAAATCACTGTATTGCACGAACTCACACGACATAATGTTAATTGAATTTTTTTTTCAAAACCAGAATAGGCCAGCAATTAGTATCCTATGTTCATAATTGCGTTTATATATATATATATATATATATATATATATATATATATATATATATATATATATATATATTATATATATATATATATATATATATATATATATATATATATATATGCAGGCATATATATATATATATATATATATATATATATATATATGCAGGCATATATATATATATATATATATATATATATATATATATATATATATATATATATATATGTATATATATATATATATATATATATATATATCGATGGTCTCGGTCGCAAACCGTCTAACTCCGAAAATGTAAATTTTACAGGAGAGATAAAAAACTGATTATTTCCTTCTCGATCGCTCTAATACAATTTTTTTTAAAAGATATCTCAGAAGAAACTCTCTACCGACTATACTGTAGCGTTTTAAAATGAGTTTTGTTGATATTTACAAAATTATAGCAGGTTTAAAAAGATAGACGGTTTGCTCGGTCTAAAATTCTCGGTGCAAACCGTCTATCTGTGCGCGCGCAGACTTAGCTGTTTTGAGCCGAGAATTTCGGTCTCAGCTGCGTTCGTTCGTTTTGTCCAATGAACGTGATTTAGTTATGTTTATGTTTTTAAGTTATAATTAACACTTCATAATATTTAGATTATAGTTTTGGGCTCATATTTTAATTATTTGAGTTTATTCTACATTATGGGGTCAGTTTAATTTTTAATAGAGATGTTTTAGTATGGCTTTATCGCTTTCGAGTGTATTCATTATGTCTGTATTTAGCACTAGACTTGTTAACTGTTGAAGGTTATGCTTTATTTATTACATCTTTCTATTCTCACAGTTTATTTTACTAAATCTGGTGGGTGCTGGGTTTGTAGAATGATATCAGTAAAAACAGAAACCGTATTGCAGTAGCGTAGCGAGGGGGGGGGGGGCGGGGGGCGCCAAAATGGGTTGGAAAGATGAAAGGTTGAGGGGGGGTGCAAATGGAAATCTCGAGGGGGCGGCGTGCAAATCGAAAGTTTGAGGGGGGTGCAAATCGAAAAGTTTGTCCCCGGGCTCCGGGAAGGGTCGCTACGCCTCTGCCGTATTGTCAGATATATTATGAATGGGACATAACACACTAATCACATTAATACTGACTTAATGTGTACTGATTTTACAAAAATGTAACAGAAAAATGTGTTTATTTTTTAAATTTATTTTTTGAATAAACGTCACATAAAGAAACATTAAAATGGCAACATATTTTTAAAATCAGGGAAATCATCATAAAAAGGTGTGTTTATGACTTGCTTTTGAGTGCTCAAATATGACAGTTTTTATCTTTTTTTTCTGCTCTTGTACAACTTGACAGGGGCTACAGATGAGATCATAATCTTACGACCCTAGCTTAGCGATTGCCAGCTAACTGCTAATTCACTTTGAAGTAGACAGTAGCATCAGGCTTGTACTGCAGTGCACGAATATTTGTCGCTTTGAATTTTTGATAGGTCTGAATGGTCTTTTGAGATCGGCTGGTCTCTTGTATGGTACGACTGGTCTTTTTGAGAGAGGTTAATGTCTAATGTCTGTTATGTGAAGCTGTTCTATTGTTTGTTACGACTGATCTGTTGAGAAAGGCTGGTGTATTGTATGGTAGGATTGGTGTGTTGAGAGAGGCTTGTCTATTGTAGGATAAGACTAATCTTTTGAGAGAGGCTGGTCTCTTGTATGGTAAGAATGGTCTGTTGAGAGAGGCTGGTATCTTGGAGGGTAAGATTGGTCAGTTGAGAGAGATTGGTCTTTTATATA